TTGTGGGCTTGTCTGCTCACTCCCAATCTTTGGTAATGCCATTTTCTAAACTTACTTCTCAGTGTACTCTTGGCTTAAAGCACCGAACGTCCAGTGGAAACGACAAAAGTTCCCAATTATACAAGTTTAAAGGAAAACATTTCACATGAGTAGATTTTTTATATCAAATGTTATCATGGTATAATTTGTAAAAATAAAAATTTACAAAAGGAAAAATATGTTCACGGTAATATTTATTTCTGTTTAAAGATGCCGTTCAATAAAAAGCAGGAACTGAGAAACTATGATATACTCATACCATGGGATAATACGACTGCAGTACCTAATTGAGTGGGTGCTGACTCACAGGGTTTTCAAGGCTGACTTCTTAGGAGGAGAATGCCAAGTTTTTCATCCAAAATACCTCGGGGTAGGTTTGAACTGCCAACTTCCTGGCTAGAACACAAGCACTCAGCCCATCTGCACCGTCTAGGGACTCCGTAAACTAGAGACCTCATTTCAAAATGGATCACTCCCACTGGAATGAACATGACAAAAGGAAGTGACAAAGCAACAGAGTTCAATCCCATTCATTACACTTCAAGGACACACAGAGGTAAAGTGACCGAGGACAGCAAGGGGGAGATCCACATAAGGTTCCGAATAGAGGCTCCCTTTATCAGGCAGGGAAGGGGATGAGATAGGAAAGATCACATGTGCCTTAAAAGAAACACAGAAAGGTCAACGGCAAGTACACAGGGCTCATCTGATTCTTCTTAGTACTTTAATCTATGTGTGTGTGACATATATGCATACATATTGGTATTCCATTGCATGTATAAAATAATTTTAAATGGGAATGTTTGTAACAAAAAGACTATGCATTGTCAGATGACGAACTCTATTACCTAGAGCACCATGTACTTAATCACATCATTTACTACATGCGTGTCACTTCCTCGAGGACGGAGGCTATGATTCTGTCCCTGCAGCCCCCTCACATCCTATGGGGTTCAATACACACTGACTGAATGACCAACTTATATTTCCTGGAAACTTTCATGAAATCACTGAGCCAAGTGACCAACCTGACACTTCCTTCAGAAACGTTTCTGCCTTCAGAGGTGGCTGCCTCAAAGGCAGTGCTGGCTAATAAGGTGGTGGCTACATTGTCCTCCCC